CTAAGTCTTTTAGCTTTTGAAATTTTCTCATAACTTTATAAGTTTTAAAAAATCATTTTACATAGCTGGTTTGTTTTTAAAGGGATTGAGAGATATTTGTTTTAAAAAAATAAGATTCTGGCAGGGCGCGGTGGCTCACGCCTGTAATCCCAGCACTTTGGGAGGCCGAGGCAGGCGGACCACGAGGTCAGGAGATCGAGACCATCCTGGCTAACACGGTGAAACCCCGTCTCTACTGAAAATACAAAAAATTAGCTGGGCGTGGTGGCGGGCACCTGTACTCCCAGCTGCTTGGGAGGCTGAGGCAGGAGAGTGGCATGAACCCGAAAGGCAGAGCTTGCAGTGAGCCGAGCGCCACTGAACTCCAGCCTGGGCGACAGAGCCAGACTCCGTCTCAAAAAAAAAAAAAGATTCTGCTACATATATTTTTCTGTGATGTGATATTGGCCGGGCACAATGGCTCACGCCTGTAATCTTAACACTTACGAGGCTGAGGCAGGCAGATCACTTGAGCCCAGGAGTTCAAGACCAGCCTAGGCAACATGGAGAAACCCTGTCTCTATTATGATATTAAATATATATATACATATACATTCTAAGTCCCTTCAGGTTCATATAGACCTAACTAATTCTTTTATTACAGCTAATAATTATCTGTAGAATGCATCCACCATTAATTTATTTAACCAATTTCTATTAGTAGCTTCAGGTTTTGTTGTTATTCATAAATATTTTGGATACAGTACCATAAACAAGATCGCTAAATCAAAGACTATGTGTATTTTCAATTTTAACATTATTTTCCAAAAAGCCTGTAGCAATTTCTAGTGCTTCCATCTATATGATTGTTCTTTTCCGACATTTTCACAAGCTCCAAGTGTTTTTTTCCAATTTTCTGCAAATCTGATGGGCATCCTGTTGTTACTTTAATTTGCATTACTCATCATTAAGGTAATAGCTTACTGACTACTTGAATTTGTTCTTCTGTAAGGTGCCTATTAATATTTTCTAATCACTTCATAGAAGCTCTTTATATATTATGGATATTGACACTTTACCAAATTTGTTATAAGAATTTTCCTTATTCTATTATTTATCTTTTGTATTTGGTTATATTTTTGGAATATAATTTTTTAAAATTTAAATATCGATTCTTTTTTTGATAAATTCTGAACTCTGTCTTGTTTGAAAAGAATTCAGAAAAAGATTTATTGCAACTTGACCTAATTTGTCCTAAAATTATAATTTTTTTTTTACTTTTAAACTTCTAATTCCTCCAAATTGGTGTATATAGTATGTTTTACATCCACATGACTAACCAATTCTACCAGCACCATTTAATAAATAATCTTTTATTCACTGAATTGAAATATGTATATATCCTGGGCTCTAAGATTAACTCTTCTAGTTGTCTATTCTTTCACTAGTACTATACTCTTTTTAGTTTACAATGCCTAACACAAGTTTCTGAAACTGGTAAGGCAGGATCCTTACCATATTTTTCATATTCCTAGTCATCAGTTCTTCCATAACAACTTTAAATGTATGTAACCCAGTTTCACAAAATTTTTCAAATTTTGGTATCTGCAAATTCTTTTAATAGGAATCAATAAAATCTCATACTGAGGTCATATACTGTAGAGAGCAGTTTGGACAAATGTCTTAACCTTTTATACAAAATAACAGTAGTACTTACACACTAGTCTTATGAAGATGAAATAATACCTATTAGGCATCTAACATAGTGTCACACACTTGTAGGAATTGCTCAATAAATACTAGTTACACAATCAAGTCGTACTGACAATGGAAAAAGACCCACCTGTAACTGGGAAGGGGGAAAACTCCTTGAGGGTGGAGACTTGGTTTTCCAGTAAGGAATTCAGAGTACAAAGTGACGTGTGACTTTCTAAAACCACTTAAAGGTTTTAAATCCCAAGTGCATTTAAAAAAAAAATTGAGCAAAGTTTATTTTAAAAATGTAAAGATGAACATGTAAAACCACAGGGGGAAAATTCTGGCCCTTTCCCAAATTTCAGTCATAATTTTTATGTATTTGGTCTCTCTTATTTTGCCTTACTTTGTAAACATGGTCACAAAACTAAACAATTCAAAAGTTACCCTTTATGCTCAGCACTTCAAACACCTTTAATGGTAGAAAAAATTAGAAAACGAAGGGAAAACCTTCATTTAAATTAAGATGAAGACCAGGAAAACACTATTCTTCCTAAGAGCAAGAATGTACCGCCCTGGCATTTACAGTAGGCTATATACTAGATATGTTCTCTTCTGCGTGGCCGCAGCCAACAGTGGGAGAACAGGTAGAGGGAGGGAAATGAGCTGCACTCAGTAGAAATGGTTAATGCACCATGAAAGAAAAAGATTCTCTAAGTTCCTACAGGATTCTTACCTACAGAACAAGACGGAGTAATGGAATTGACTCTTTCAATGCACTAATGATAACCTCCAAAGCCAACTCTGTCTTTAGAGTTGACAATCTAGTAATGATGCTTAGTACGAAACACAGTACTTTCCTTGCTGCTATCCTAAGTTTTGACTACCATCATTTAGCAAGACTCTTAGGAAAAATCCCTTGCTCAATCTCCTCACTTACTACAATAAGTATAGCAATTCAAAGAATCTTCAATGAAGCAAATCAGTGTCTACTTCCCATCCTCATTAAGAAATCATGCTGTGTCCATTCATGCTTCAGAAATCAGTGGCATGGTAAAATACTAGTGACAACTGGAAAATCTCTCTTCTTTTCTGTATTACTGGAGATAGCAATAGCTTTTTCACAACAAAATAAAGAAAAAGAAAAGGCCTAGATATTGTGATTAGTCAAATAAGATCAACTGAGAGGGAGGTCTAATAAAACATAATTAACAGGAAAACTAAATCTGAAATTTTTGCTCAACTGTCTTTCCATCATTTATTAAAAGCTTCTGTTATTAATTACTTGTTTATCCAGCACTGACCATAGCCAACACTGCCCATCAAGTTAACTGGTAATAAAATCTGTTTCTCAGAGGTATCATTTCCAAGCAGATACCAACCCACTGGGCCAATTTATTTACCGTGTAGTTGTGCTGACTGCATTGTAAAAAACAATGGTCTTTCCATTTCTGATTTCAGAAAAAGTTCCTATAATGACAGTAGAAAGCTATAAGAATATATGGGCTAATTCCCATGCTAAGAATCTTCTACGGCAGCAATTTTTTTAGAGTAAGCCACCTATACCCCTGTTGAATACCAGATCCTTTCCTAAGAAAAATGCACATGTACACATCATACAAAATGTAGCCAACAATTTCAGGAGGTTAAACAAAATTCCTTGAACCTTATCCAGGGAATCAGATCAACAATCTGTCACAAGGTTTCCAAAATCACTAGTAGGGCCTTGTTCTGAGCAAACCTGAGAATAGAGTTATACTGGAAAGGTTTATGAGTACGTAAGGGAAAGAGTAGCTAGTAGGAAAATGCAAGGTAAGGACAATAAAAGCAAAAGGGAGAAGAGATTCATAGCTACACTGAAGCCTACAACAGCACAGTGTTTTTTCATTCATTTGACAAATATTTTACTATTATATACTAGGCAAGGTACTAAGAGATGTGATAGTGATTAAACTCTGATGTAGCTAACATGGTTCTTGCTCTCACACAGCTTTTAAGTACCAGGAAAAGATAATCAACCATCCTGATGAATAACCAACTGAGACACATTACTGGAATAAGGAAAATACATTTTATGAGAGCCTACAACAAAAGAACCTAGCTTAGATTGAAGGCTCACAAAGCTTCCCTAAAGTAAAGTTAAGGTGAAATCTAACAAGCAAATAGGAGTTATCTATGCAGAAATGGGAGTGAGAGAAGATTAATACAAGCCTTACAGACTGAGAGAGCCACATATTCAAACCACATATGGTGCAGGCAGTATGGAGATTAGACAGTTTTACTATGAAATTAGGAAGATGTGGCTTCTTTTATTAAAAGGTTTCTTCTTAGCCTGTTACTTATCTTCTGTAAAAATAGCAGTATATGCATCATAGGGCAGTTGAGAGAATTAAATCACAGAATATATCTAAAGCTCTATGTAAAATGCCACGGCACATGGTTCAGTGTTCATTAAATGTGATGACGACAAGTATACAATAATTAAGAGAACCTGTATTTAGTATGTATTAAATTGCCTGGGTGTACATTCAACCTCACCACAAATGTTAGTGGTCCTTAAAGCCACCAGTAACAAATTTCTAAGGCAATATATAAGCAACTTAACTATTTTAATAATGTTTGCTCCTCATTTTTACTTGCATAAATGGGCTAAAAAGAGCTGTATTTAGATACAGAACAAAGAGTCGCCCGTTGGTATCCACTGGGGATGGGTTCCAGGACCCTCCTCAGATACCAAAATCTGCGCATGCGGCCCTGTGGAATCCGCATATATGAAGTCAGCCCTCTATATCCTCAGGTTTCATATTCCGCAAATACTGAATCTTGACATGCATTTGTTTGTGGATGCAGAATCTGCGGGTACAGAGGGCCAACTACTGAAAAATATTCCCAGGAGTAGACCCATGCAGTTCAAACTTGTGTTGTTCACGGGTCAACTGCATATGTTATCTCTACATAAGGACTACAATGCACTTTACGACTGAAATTCTTTTTTAAAAAACAAACTAACAATTTGACTGAAAAATTGTGGTTAATGTTTAAGTGAAATAAGTTGAAGTACAATTCAAAAAGAATTTCACTTTACCTCTAGGCAAAGTATTATATGGATCACCAGGAACGGATAATCTATTATTTATTTGTAAGTCTGTAAATAGTCATGGAAATATACCCTTTTCAGATTTATGCTCTCCATTACCTTTGTGTACTAAGCACATTTTCTCTAAACTTAAATATCTCTAATACATTTCCTGGCCTGAGATTACTCAATAGGTAAGAACTGAGGCATCAAGACATTTAACTGCTGTACTACAAAAATGAAATGTTACCTGGAAAACTAGTCTTCATTATATCAATCCCAACTTGCAGCTCAGGCTCAGCAGCAAGCACCGCATAGTCCCCTTGATGAGAGATGTTAAAGTTGAAATTCGGGTAAGGATTCGATGAGTCCTTTGCAAGAACTGGCTTTCCTTTTGCAGTTCTTTGCAAACGAATGTGATTCCAAGGGATATTCAATTTCTCTGCAACCAATTTCCTTATCATCAGACGACCAGCCTGTTAAGTACATAAAACATTTGGTATGTACTGATGTCTGCCAAAGATACAACCACACTACGTGTAAAAGTATTTTTTTTTTGGTTTCTAAAATTTTCATTTTTAAAACTTTTCAAAATACTTAAGGATTAAACACACGTTAATTTAAACTTAACCAATGCTTAAGTAGATAACAAGTTAAAGCCCGCCTTAACAATTCCCTCTCCTTTGCTAGCGACCAAAGTTAACAGCTGGCATCCTGTCAGTCTCTTCTGGATTTAAATATATGTGCATTTACATGTTTTTGCTAACTCTACATATAAACACAAACATGAGATTATACTTATGTAGTATTCTGCCACATATAAGCTTTTAAATTTATAAGTATTGGGAATTATTTTATGTCTGTACACATCCGTCTGGTCCATGCAGTTTTAACTGTAGCATATTTCATAATATTATTTCCCCTTTATTGGACATTTTAGGCTCGCTCTAGACTTGCTGTCATAAACAACTCTGCAGTGACAGCCGTCCTGTATCTACATCTGCGCATATGTATTTCCAGATCCCATATATTGATCACCCAGCTTCAACGATTAGCAAGGCGTGACCTATCTTGTTCTGCTCTCTCCCACCTCCAAATATTATTTTTTAAATAATTACTAAACACACACACACACAAAAAGCAAGAATATAAGATGACAAAGTATGTATTTTTAAAAATATCTTTCAGGTTTTTTTCTTCTTCAATTCTAACACTGACTTTTAAAAACTGCAGGCTTTTAAAAGTAGTTCATTTCACAATTCCTTACAAATTATAAGTGTAAAAAATTTTCACCAATGTGCCTTATAATTATCAACTAGTCAACATTTCAAACAGAAAGGTGTTTCAATATGGGACATTTTTAAGAAACGACTGTCTTTTAAATGATAGTAATTCACGGTTGTTTCAAATTGCACCATATTGTAGAGGTTATTTGTTTGGAAATCCCGTTTTCCATTTGTTGCTTCAAAATAATAGCTAAAATAAATCTACGTAAAATACTGTTTCCCATGGCATCTAGTGAGGAAGGTATCCTCTCCGGCTTCAGGTTCATTGGCTTCAATCCCGTGAAGCGCAGGGCTACGAACTATATCATACTGTCAATAATTTCTAGGGCCTACCACGTGCAGGGAGTCCTCGGAGAATGGTGGGATATTTAACAGGCAGAATAAGCATGGGTTATGAACCCACGCAAAGAAAAAAAATAACATTTAAAGATAAAGACATAAAAACATTCATTACAGAAAAACACAATTTTGTCGGCCTTCCTCACACTTATTTCACAGTTTAGGAGGGTCTCCATTTGAAATAACAGGGGAAAAGAAAGAATTTTTACAGCCATCGCGGCCTCCGAGGCGGTTACAAAGGCCGTGGAAACCAGGCCGTGCGTCGCCCGCAACTCCGCAGCGCCGGCTGCTGTCGCCCGGACCGGCCACGGGCTCCACAGCGAGAAGGTCGCCGCCAGCGCGGGAGTGTGGGGTCTCCACAGCCCGGCCCGCCTCCCCCAACATCTGCTTCCTATGCTGTAAATACCAAAAAAGACCTGTAGTACCATGGCTGCCTTAGCGTCCCGGGCAAAGACGAACTGGCCAATGCGCTCCTTCTCCTCGGGCTGAATCGATCGCACTGCCAGCAGCCATTCGGCTCGACTAGGCAGCCAAGTGCCGCAGGAAAAGGCCCAGCGCACGCCCTCCATGGATGGCACCAAGCAGAACCGTTTGGCAGGGAAAACCATACACTGCAAGCAGACCTCGCCGTTACCTCGGGCCTGATGGCGCGGTCGCAAACGTGGCCCCACCCCCTTCTTCCCGGCGTCCGTGCGCAGGGGGCGGGACGTCGCTACGCAGATGGGCACGTGGCCCACCGACAGCCCTCCCAGCCCGCCCCCAGCTCAGCCACCTCCTCTCGGAGAAAGCAGCTGGGGGCGGAGACGGAGATCAGCTCTGCGCTTTGCGGCATTGTATGACGTCACGTAGGCGTGGCTTCGGAGGCGAGCAAAGGGCGGGACCAAGGCCAAGAGCCCGGCAGTTACGCCACTCACACTTGCGGAAGAGTTGACGGGACAGCGGTGCAGGCCAATCGCAACCAGTCCTCTGGAGGCAGGGAGACTGGGGTGGAGACTTCGGAGACTGCAGTTGCAGGTGGGTGAGCTCCGGGGTCTGAGGGAGGAGTGGGATCGTAGCCCTTATTCTCGGGGTCTGGGTTGGCCCCTGTGGCCCACAGAGAAGAGAATGTCCTTGGCTTCAGCTGCTTCGTGTACGGGGCACGAGAGATTTCCACCTCTAGGAGGGGGTCTGCAGTGATGCCCCCTGGAGTTGTGCAACGCGGCAGCCCTGAGTTGCTTCTTTCCCTACCCCCATCCCCATCGGCCTAACACCTACCCTCACACAGTATGTTCCCGACCCTTAGCAGCAGGCAACCTGAAACCCTCCCTCCGAAGGCCGAGCCGAGGCACTACCCCCAGTGCGGGACTCCGACCCCGCCTCAATCAGAGGCTGCCAGCGAGCAGCTGGGCTAATGCTGGCTTTTTATTTGGGGGCGATGAAGCGACCCAGGTGCTGTTTTGCTATTGCCAAGCCTGGGCTACAGCCCTAGCGAGAAAACAGGATTCCATTGTTGAGGCATCAGTGTTTCCATCATGACAAGAGGTCCTTGCTCTAGCCGCAGAAACAAGTAAATAACTTTACTCAGTTATTTTCTCAGACTTTGCGAAGGGTCATATTGATGTATGTCTGTTTCCTTAGTTGTTCCGTGTAGGCTGTTGTTGACTCTCGTATGAAAGCCCACGCGATCCAAGTGCCCTGCAGGTTTTGGTCCAGGGAAAAGTTGGTCTCTGCAGATGACTGTAAATGACTACCTGGAGGTCGATTAAAGTGCAGTACTGCGGGATTCAGCCGATTTCCTTCTTCCTCTGACTGCCCGGAAATATCAGCCAAAGGCCAGCGGTACTAATTAACACAATTACCTGCCTATGATTTCTGTCCTATTTAAGATGGGTTCTATTATGTTTTTATCTATACTTGTCTTCATTAACTTTTCGTGATATCATAAGCCCCCCAAATCCCTCGAAAGTAGATGGGATTCTGAGCACACACACACACAAATTCAGATCCCCAAAGGACAGTAAAATGAATTATTGGCTTAATATATCATCTTAGCTAACCAAAAGCCTGTGTCAGCTGCCATATTGAAAATCTGGTTACCAGCTGCAGGGAGCTTACAGTCTGGTAAAGCAAATAAATCATATGCATAAAAAGTACAATAAGAGACAGTGTAAAGATATGTAAATAATACTAATACCCATATCAGCAATGATCATAACTCACTTCTCCATTTTTAACTAAGAATCATATAACTTTTCCTTCCTGTCATTTTAAACTGATTTTTGTAAGTTTGGTACATTAAGTTTCTGTTTCCAAACACTTCTGTGTACGTTATTGCGCATGTTCTGTGTACTAGTTATTACTGATGGAGACAATGAGCTCAGAAAGAGAATTTGTTTAAATTTAGGAATTCATATCCCATTATTTTACCATCGAACAAGAGCTCTGTGTATTACATCTATGGAGCCTAATACACAGACAGTAATTTAGGGATTATTTGTACTTGGTCTAGAATGTAGAATATTCTCCCCTTCTCCCATTATCACATTCCTTGTTTCCTCTGTATCATTCAGGCCCAAATGTCATACCAAACAGAATGTCTTCGTTCACCCAGTGTAAAATAGCTCACTCTTCCCACTTCCAAACCTCAGCCCCAAACCTATTACCCTCGTGAACATATTTTGTAGGTTTGTTGAATCCCCTTCCCTGTGTGCTTTTAAAAATTCTCCAGAACTTAGCTTAAACCTTCTCTTAGGGCCTACTTCAGAGTACCTTTTTCCAAAACAGTATTGTTTATATAATTCATTTGGCAGTTATTCTAGTATTGCCTTATGACATCTCTCCTATTGTCCTGAATTATTTGCATGTGTGTTATCTTGCAAAATAGAATGTACAGTACTTGAGAGGGAATGTCATGTATACCTTTTACAAATAGTGTACATGAGTAAATATTATTAATGACTCCACAATAGATTTATTACTGGTTTTTATATTCTATCTGCCTTTACTTCCCTCACTTTTATTAAGGAAATGTAAATATGCAGTTTATAACTTGCTTAACTGTATTAAACGAACCCAACAATTTTATTAAAATATTTTTTATTGCATTGGTCAGGGGAAGAAGAGGACTAAAGTAATAGGGGCTCACTCAGTCTAGAATGATCATCTTGCTTGGTGCCGATCTGTGGCTTCTTAGCAGGATTCTGAGGGATTCGTATTCTATTTCCAGCTCTACCACCAATTGTCTGTGTGACTTTGGTCACACAGGATCCTATGTGTGACATAACCTCTTCCAGGTATTAATATCAATAGAAAGGCATTATATAAATCATCTCTAAGTCTAGGTGTTTTTTAGATGTATTCACTAACTTTTTATTGGGTCACAAACTTTATTCTACCTGAAACACTTTTTTTTTTTCACCCAAGACTTATTTGAATAGCTCTATAATTCTACCAGTTTCTCAAGGAAGAAACCATGATGCTGCTTTTCTTTGATTCCCTATATCCAATCCATCTCCAAGTGTTTTTGGTTTTACTTCTAATACAGCTAAATCCATTTGTTTCTTTATTCCCACTGTTAACAATCTGGTATAACCCACCATCATTTTTCATCTGAAATACTAATCAGTTTTCTAGCCTGCCTGAGAAAGGGGAGCACTCTCTTCCAATGTCTTCCATGCCATAAGCACAACCTGCTTTCAGAGCTAAATCTAGAAATCCATGCCCTTAATTCTCATGTTATATTGCCCTCTAATTAGACTGAGAAGGAGAAGCCAGCAAGGTAGGAAACCTGAAGAATGTTGTGGCATAGAAACTAAAAGACGAGTGTTTCAAGGACTAGTTAACGGTGTGAATATTCCTAAGAGGTGAAAAGATGAGGAGAGAGAAGTGAGAATTCAGCTTCAAGATGGTAGTGTGGTGACATTGACAAGAGCAGTTTTAATGGAGTAAAAGGAATTTTATCGTAGTGAGTTGAGATGATAACTGGAGGTGACGCTACCACAGAGTGCCCTTTAAAGTTTTTCTGGATTTAGGAAGTAGAAAAATGGAATGGTAGCTGGAGGAATAAAAGGTCAAAGGATAGATTTTTGTTTGATGTTTGTTTAAAGATGGAAGATACTAGAATTTGCATGCTAATGGAAAATGTCCAGTAGGGTGGGAGAAACTCTTAATGTATAAGAAGGAAGCGGGGGTTGTGTGTGTGCGGGGGGGCAGGTGTTCACCATTCTAAAGTAGACTCTATTGTAGAGGCCCTTGTCTGTGTTGTTTTTAGCTGTATTTCTAGTATCTAGAATAGTGCCTGCCACAATATTTGTTACTCCATAAGCTATCCAATATTTGTTGAATAAATGAATGACTTAGACCCTACTTCTCTTCCTTTCAATTCATTCTTGACATATTAGCTAGAAAAATATTTTTTTAAAAAAATGATGTCATGTCACTGTCCAATTTAAAGTGATCAGTCATTCCTATTTCACTTAGAATAAAGCCCAGCTCCTGTGACCCATTGGATCCTGACTGAGGTAGCAACTGCCTTCTGCAGCCCTATCTCCTGACCCTCTTGCTTTCATTAGCTACTCCAGCCACAATGGCCACCTTTAATTTCCTAAAACTGAAGGACTCCTTTCCCTCTGCAGGGCTTTATATGTGATTTCCGCCACTAATCCCTTACCTTCTTGTCATTCAGTTCTCAAATGACACTTCAGAAAGGCTTTCCCTAGTATTGTAGTGGCTGAAAGCAAGTGCTCTCGAGCCAAACTGAGTTCACATACCACCTCCCTGCTTACTTGCTATATGATCTTAGCCAAATTACTTAAATTATCAAAGTCCATTTTCTCTGTTTGTAAAGTGAAGATAAGTATCTACTTTATCCAGTTTTTTCGAAGATTAAAAGAATATGTGTAAAACATATAGCATGGGGCCAGGCATGGTGGCTCATGCCTGTAGTCAACAGCATTTTGGGAGGCTGAAGCATGAGGATCACTTAAGGCCAGGAGTTTGAAAACAACCTGGGTAATATAGTGAGATCCCATCTCTAAAAAAAACCAAAAACCAAAAAACAAACAAACAAATAAAAAAAAAAACTGGGTGTGCTAATGCACAACTGTAATCCCAGCTACTCAGGAGGATGAAGTGGGAGGACTGCTTGAGCCCAGGAGGCTGAAGCTTCAGTGAGCTGTGATGCTGCCACTGCCCTCCATCCTAGGTAACACAGCAAGGCCCTGTCTCAAAAAACAAACAAACAAAAAACATAGTACAAAGCATGGCACATAATAAGCACTATATAAATGTTCCCTGTTACCCCTTTTGTTATTGTCTGAAATTGAATGCCCCCATTGTTCATTTCCACTTCCTACTTGTGGCTTCACGATACTTATAAAAATTTATAATTATTTATTTGTGTACCTTATTTATTATGTCGTCTTCACCAGATACTGGACAGCAAAAAAGCAGGGACCATGTCTGTCTTTTATTCTCTCTTTAACTCTAGTGCCTAATTCGGTGCTTGTCATATAGTTAGCATCTATAATAAATATTTACTAGACTAGGCCAGAAATCATGCCGTATATTGAAATATCAGTGACCAAACTAAGATCACTGCAGGACCCAGTCAAAGCTCAGATCAGGCAGAGCACAGCTTTAGTTTAATGTTCTACTTTTATTAAGTGGCACATGATTTTTGTCATTACTTTTTATCAAAGGCTTCATTCTTAGGCTTGACTCTTGTACCTTTATTCAATTATTTAAATCAAATTTTAATGGAAGCCTTTTAAAAAAAGGATAACAGAATCATTTTAAAAATTGAGTCAGCGTTTTGGGCAGGAAGGTGTTTCATTGAAGCTGGGGTGCAATCTTATAAAGTACACTATTATTTTATATACTACTAAGAAAAATGCCAGCTATGACACAACTCTTTATCACTAAGAATTTTTTCTACTTATGCAAAGAGCCCTCTTTTTAAAAAATCGTATAATACCCTTGCACCTACATACAAAGAACAATATAAGCAAAATTAATTGGCTGAGGCACTCCTAAAACTTCTTAACATTCAAAGTGTCTTTTCATTGATTTTCAACTCAGAGTCTCTGTGTCCATGTTTTATTTTTACAATATCATTCTCTGTTTAGAGCATTAGTGATATATCATTTCTTAAACCAATGTCCATTATTATATCCAAGGTTTTCTTCCAACATACTGATATCCATTCTTCAAATTTAGTACGCATGTAATGACAAATATGTCATGACTACTACCCAACCAGAGTGATTATAAGATGCCTGTCAGTTTCAGATAAGTGTGAAAAACTTTGTGTCTTAAAAGCAACGAAATAACATAATTAATTTTGAAGAATATTTGAAGAAAAATAATTGCCTTATAAATCTTTTGCCAAGAATTGAGAGTTGTTTAACAGTTAATAATGTTATTGATTTTAATTATTATTTACATATAATTTGACAGTATTAACTTAATATTCATTGTATCATTTAAGTCTCACAACAGTCCAGTGTCATAGATGTGTCCACTTTGCAGATGAGGAAGTCAAAGCCTCAGAGAGCCTAAGTAGGAATCACTACTAAGTAGGAATCACTAGTAAGTAATGAACCATTTAGGACTATTTCTCTAGTTCCAAATGCCATATTCTTTGTTATTTGCAAAATACACTTATACAAGTAGGATTTACTCAAATGAAATTTAAGAAATGGAAATATTCAGCTCCTTGGATTTATCATTCTGTGTAGAATGTACCTGGCAGACTTTTTTTTTTTTTTTCTCTTCTTTTTGAGATGGAGTCTCGCTCTGTCGCCCAGGCTGGAGGGCAGTGGCGCGATCTTGGCTCACTGCAAGCTCCACCTCGCAGGTTCATGCCATTCTCCTGCCTCAGCCTCCCAGGTAGCTGGGACTACAGGCGCCCACCACCATGCCCAGCTAATTTTTTGTATTTTTTTAGTAGAGATGGGGTTTCACCATGTTAGCCAGGATGGTCTCGATCTCCTGACCTTGTGATCCACCTGCCTCGGCCTCCCAAAGTGCTGGGATTACAGGCGTAAGCCACCATGCCCGGCCGGCAGACTTTTTAAAACGGTGTTATGAAAGTGAATAGGTTTGTGTGATTCTTATATATTATTTTAGGATACTTGAAATTTTCTAGTAAAACTTGTTTTTGTTACTATTTATAGGAATAAAAATAACTTTGTGTTTACATCATGTGGTCCACTTATTCATGAACCATGAGGCTCAATAGACTTAATCCAACATAGGATCTAAATTACATACGTGATTTTCATGACAATAAAGTTAATTAAAAAGTGTTTGTGGTTAGAGTCTTAAAAATTGATATTCTCAGGACCTACGCCACTATGCAGAAATATAGTTTTTATTCTTTTGGAAGTATCCCATTTAGTTACCTTTTTCCTATTTTATTTCCTACTTATTTTAAAATACAGAGGAATGATTTTATACCAATTAAAAAATTATGTTTTATTTGCATTTTCTATGTTTTGAGCAAGAAGAAAGCTGGAACATCAAAATAGTTTCTGAATTGATTGATCTTTTATCTTTTAATATCTTAAAATAATTACACAACAAGTTGTAAAGATAAAATTTCCATGTACCCTTCACCCAGTTTCCCCAAATGGGTACATATATAATAATAGTAAAAGATCAAAACCAGGAATTTGACATTGGTACAATGTTTGTGTGTAGTTTCTTGTAATTTTCTCACATGTGCAGATTGCTGTAACCTATCTAAATTGTGTATATCAAACTTTGTCCTTTTTAATGGTGAGTAGTATTCCATGGTATGGATGTACCATGATTTGTTTACTCTTTCATCTATTGTGCAACATTTTGGTTGCCCTCAGCTTTTGGCTATACAAATGAAGCATTATGAAACATGTAGAGGCTATTGTGTACACATAAGCTTTTCTTTCTAATGGTCAGCAGCATGATTGTTGGGTAATATGGTATGTGTATGTTTAGTTTTTTTAAGAAACTGCCAGACTATTTCTGCCAGCAGTGTATGTGTGATTCAGTGTCTCTGCAAGCCCTCAAATATTTGGTGTTGTCATTATATTTTATTTTAGCTATTTTGATAGATGGGTAGGGATATTTCATTGCAGTCTTAATTTCCATTTTCATAATGACTAATGATGTTGAACATCTTTTCATGTGCTTATTTGCCATCTGTATATTCTCTTTGGTGAAATATCTCTTTGTGCCTTTTGCGTATTTTTTAAATTGAATTATTTGGTGTTTTTACTGGTAAGTTTTCAGATTTCTTTATATATTATTTCTTTATCAGATTCAGTTTGCAATTTTTTTTTCCTGGCTCATAGCTTGTCTTTTCATCCTCTTAAATAAAGGGACTTTCACAGAGGAAAAATATAATTTTGATATAAAGTCCAATCTAGTAATTTTTTTCATTTATGTGTTGTGCTTTTGATGTCTAAGAGCTCATTAAATGAGACCCTGGTTACAAAGATTTTCTTCTGTATTTGCCTCTAAAAAGTTTTTATTTTACGTTTAAATCTATCAACTGTTTTAATTTTTACATAAAGTTGTCTGTGGATATCCATTTTCTTCAGCATTTTTTGTTAAAAAAGATTCTTTTTATTCCATTGAATTGCATTCACACCTTTGTCAAAAGTCACTTGGCTATACTGTGTGGGGCTATTTCTCTATTGTGTATTGCATTCCACTGATCTATGTGTCTCTCCTTTCACTAATATTACACAGTATTGATTATCATAACTATAGTAAGTCTTGAAATCAGGTAGACTGATACTTCCCTCATTCTTATTCTTTTTAGTTGTGTTAGATATTCTATTTTCTTTATCATTCCATGTAAATTTTACAGTAATCTCATCTGTATATACAAAAAATTGTGCCAGGATTTTGATAAAAAATGTGTTAAACCTTTATATCAGTTTAGGGGGAATTAAGGGGACATCTTTATTAAGTTGACTTTTCCAATTTGCAGACATGGCATGTCTTTCCATTTTAGTCTTCTTTGATTTTTTTAGCATTTTATATTTTTCAGCATACAAGTCCTGTGCATGTTTTGTTAGATTTATACGTAAGTATTTCTTTCACTTATTTTTTTTTAACTGTTATACTTTTAATTTTTGTTTTTGTTTTAATTTTTGTTTCTATGTGTTTTTTGCTGGTATATAGAAATATGATTGATTTTTTTGTGATGCTCTTGTGTCCTGTGGCATTGCTGAACTTGCTGATTAGTTCTATGAGGTTTTTTTCTCATAGATTCCTTTGGATTTTCTATATAGGCTATCTCGGAATTTGCAAATAGAGGCAGTTTTGTTTCTTCCTTTCCAATGTATATGCCTTTTATTGAATTTTCTTGTTTTAGTGTGCTTGGTAGAGCTTACATTCCCTTGGAAACTGAATAATACATTTCGAAATAAGTGTGAACTTTGATGAATAGCAGTGGTAAGGGTGGACATCCTTGCTGTTTTCCTCATATTAGGGGGAAGGCATTCCATAATTTAGCATAGTGTTATCTATAGGTTTTTTGTAGATTTTCTCTACTAAGTTGAGAAGGGGGAACTTTTCCCCTCTCTTTCTCTTTTGCTAAGAGTTTTTCCCATAACTGGGTGTTGTATTTTTTCAAACAGTTTTTATGCATCAATTGATATGGTCTTGTGGTTTTTCTTCTTTAGCTGCCTAATAGGATAAATTACACTAATTGGTATTCAAATACTTTTCAGCCTTACATCCTTGAATAAACTTACTTAGCCATAGTGTATAATGCCTTTTATATATTGCTGAATTTTTTTGCTAATATTTTTAAATGATTTTTGCATCTATATTTGTGAAGTATATTGGTCCATAGTATGGGGTTTTGGTTTTTGTTTGTTTGTTTTGGGTACTGTCTTTGTCTGGAGTACCACAATAATACTCACTTCATAAAATTAGTTGGGAATCTTCCCTCTGCTTCTGTTTTCTTGAAGAAGTTATGTAGAACTGGTATTCTTCTTTAAACTTTTGGTAAATTTAATTTCCTTAATGGTTACAGGGCTGTTCAAATTATATGTTTCATATTGGGTGAGTTGTAGTAAAGTAAGCACTTAACGCTAAAAATTTTCCTCTGAGCACTATTTTAGCCGTATCATACACATTTTGATATATTGTATTTTAGTTTTTATTCAGTTCAATGTATCTTTAAATTACACTTGAAACTTTCTCTTTGATGCATGGATTATTTAGAAGTGTGTTATTATGTTTCCAAGTGCGTGGAGATGTTTATGTTATCTTTTTGTTACTGATTTCTGGTTTGATTTCATTGTGGTGAAAGAATATAATCTGTGTGATTCCAATTCTTTTAAATAATTTGAAGTTTGTTTTATGGGACAGGATATGGTCAATCTAGATATATGTTCCATGAGCACTGGGAAAGAATATGTATTCTGCTGTTGTTAGGTGGAGTTTTCTATAAATGTTGATTAGATTCTGTTGATTGATGGTGTTGTTGAGCTCTATATGCTTGCTGACTTCTTGTCTAGTTCTATTACTTTTAGAGAGAAGAGTGTTGAAGTCTCCAGCTATAATAGTGGATTTGTCTTTTTTTTTTTTCAGTTTTATCAGTTTTTACTTCACATATTTTACAGCTGTATCATTTGGTGCATATAGATTTTTGATTGCTAGTATTCTTGGTGGTGGATGGACATTACATAACATTCCTTTCCCTGCTCAAGTCTGCTTTATCTTGTAATTGTATTGCCATGCCTGCTTTATTTTAATTAATGCTTGCATAGTATATCTTTTCCTATCCTTTTACTTTTAACCTACTTATTATATTTGAAGTCAGTTTACTTGTAGGAAGCATAAAGTTGGGTCACTTTTTAATCTGCTCTGGTAATCTGTCTTTTAATTAGTGTATGTAGACCACTTACATTTTGTGCAATTATTATTATGTCAGTATTGAAGTCTGTAATTTATTTTCTGTTTTCTGTTTATTCTGTTTTTATTTCTGTTTTTTTTTTTTTCTATCTCCTGTGGCTTACTTGAACTTTTTTTAGAATTTAATTTTGATTTAGCTATAATAATTTATAAATGTTATCTCTTTGAACAGTTTTTTTGTTTTAGACGGAGTTTTGCTCTTGGCGCCCAGGCTGTAGTAAAGTGGTGCGATCTCAGCTCACTGCAACCTCTGCCTCCTGGGTTCAAGTGATTCTCCTGCCTCAGCCTCCCAAGTAGCTGGGAGCCCACCACCCCAGGTGCCCACCACCACACCCAGCTGCTTCTCTTGTCCCTTCCTCCACCATTTTATAAGTGTAAACTTATTGTCAATTAAATGATTTTCTTTTCTTTTCTGTTAAATTTCTTAGAAAATAAGCCTTAACTTCCACTTATTTTACACACATTATATGCTAAATTACTTTTGTTGTTGTTGTTTTGTTTTGTTTTTGTTTTTGTTTTTGAGACAGAATCTCTGTCACCAGGCTGGAGTGCAGTGGTGCGATCTCGGCCCACTGCAACCTTTACCTTTATGTTCCGGGTTCAAGCGATTCTCCTGCCTTAGCCTCTCGGGTAGCTGGGACTACAGGTGTGTGCCGCCATGCCCAGCTAACTTTTGCATTTTTATCAGAGATGGGGTTTCCCCGTGTTGGCCAGGATGGTCTCAATCTCTTGACCACGTGGTCCACCCACCTTGGCCTCCCAAAGTGCTGGGATTACAGGTGTGAGCCACTGCGCCCAGCCAATTATGTGTTTTTTTAAAAATATTCTCAACCACACAACCAGATAGATACAGTTTATCTGCATTTTACAGATGATGAAAATAATAATAAAAAATTAGAAGTTATTTGCCTCAAATGTATCACAACTAAATGCTGAACCAGCGTTAGAACTCAAGCCTGATTCTAATGCCCTCCTTTTTCTTTCATTTCACTTTGTTAAAAGAAAAGCTTTAGACAAATACAATTTAACAGAGTTTGAGCAAAGAGCAATTCATGAATCAGGTAGCATTCAAAACTGAAAGAGGTTCAGAGAGCTCTACTCCAGCAGTGTGACCAGCAAGCTTTTATAGGTTGAACATGGAAACAAAGTAGAGAAATTACCTGATTGACTACAGCTAGGCATTTGCCTTATTTGGATATTGTCTGATGGAAATTCTCTATTTGTAACCAGTAGGTTGGTTGACTGTGATTGGCTAAGGCTTGTTTTTGGTTTTTAAGTCAGTTACAATAAATGTTTCCAAGTTAAGCTTTAGTTCTCTTATATAAGAGGCCTTGTTATGGAGGTAATCTCAGGCTAATAGCCATCTTATTTAACAACATTATATCATACTCTTGGGAAGATATATGATTTTTATACAAGCTAATATGTCACATCTGTGTATTTTATAAATATTAGAAAAGGAGATAAAACATGCATAGTTTTAAAAACAGTCTTATAAGTGACTTATGAAGATGCCTTGTGAGGTAAAGAATTAGTCCTGGGACATTAGCCATGTATAATTGTCTTTATGCCTCACTCTAATTTGAAATACTCTTTTTCCATCCTAGGTCATATGTTATCAACATTGTTAAGTCAAGACTTGAACTGTCGTGATAGTTGATTTCATTTATAAGCTTGACTGGGCCATCTGGTGACCAGACATTTGGTCAGATATTCTGAACGTGTCTGTAAGGATATTTCTGGATGAGATTAACATGTGAATCAGGAGACCAAGTAAATCAGATTTTCCTGTGTGGTAGGCCTTATCCAATCAAATGAAGAATTGAATAGAATAAAAGACTGAGTAATAGGAAATTTATCCTGCCTATTTGAGTTGGGACATACATCAGTCTTTTCCTGCCATTGGACTCAAGTTGAAAAATTGACTCCTCTTGGGTCTTAAGCTTGTCAACTTTTGGACTGAAACTTAAACCATTGGCTGTTGTGGTTCTTAGGCCTTTGGACTTGTACTGAAACTGTACTGTCAGCTCTCCTGGGTATCCAGCTAACTAGTTATAGATCTTGGGACTTCTTAGCCTCTATTATCATGTGAGCTTATAATAAATCAATCTGGCACTGTCTGTCTCTCTTGCTCTCTTTCTCTGCCCTCATCTTCACCCATCGGTATTGGTTTTGTTTTCTCTAGTTCCTTTTCCTCAGAATTAACCTCCAAGCCTTTCATTATCTCTCTTCCTCCATGATACCCACTCTCATTTTTAATATGTCTCCCTATTCACAGTTACTCAGAACGCTACACACAAAATTATTTCTACAAGTCACTTAGATTTCCAGCAGTACTGCCAATTACAACCTATTAGTTTCTCCTGTACACACAGGCACATACACACCTCCACAGTCACACACACATTCACACAGGCACACTATTTTTCCACACAGTATAATGGCTATCCAGTGGAACTTTTCTGTGATGATGAGAATGTTTTATATTTGCTTTGTTTAATATAGTAGTCACTAGGCAGATGTATTAATCTGACTTATTCAGAAAAACAGAACCAAAGGGATATATATAGATACACACACACACACATATGTATATGTATTTGTACTATACATATGTATAGGTATTTTTACTATATATATGTATATGTGTTTGTTTTATATATATATATATATACATGGAGAGAGACAGAAAAACTGTAAGGAATTAGCTCATGTGATTATGGAAGCTGAGAAGACCCAAGATTTGCAGTCAGCAAGCGGGAGACTTAGGAGAGCTAGTGGTATAATTCCTGCTTGAGTTATTCAGCCTTTTGTTCTATTCAGACCTTCAACAGACAGGATGAGGCACAGCTACAGTGGGGAGGACAATCTGCTTTAGTCAGTCTACCAATTCAAGTGTTTAATCTCGTCTGGAACACCCTCACAGACATACCCAGAAGTAATGTTTAACCAAAAATGTGGGCACTCTGTCCCAAACAAGTTGTCACTCATCACACCACATATGACTGACCACTTAAATGTGGCTAGAGCAATGATGGATCTGAATTTTTAGTTGTATTTACTTACAAGTAATTTAAATAGCTACACATGGCTCATGGTTACTGTATTGCATAGCGCAACGGTCAATTGTCTTGGTCCTGGAATGGAGCTTTAATTGATGCTGTAGGACAATTTAGACTACTTCTCCAGTATCTAGCTTCCACCTAGGCCTCTTGGAACACCTGCTCTGGGAGAACCAAGCTTCATGCAAAAAGCCCAGTCACTCTGAGACTGTGATGCTGTGAAGAAGCGCCAGCTAGCCACTTGAGAGGGTGCGTTAAGAAAGAGAAAACCCTAATGATCAGTGAGGATGAGCTTTTTTCCATATGTTTGTTGGCCACATAACTGTCTTCTTTTGAGAGTTGTCTGTTCGTATCCTTTGCCCACTTTTTGATGGGGTTTTTTGTTTTTTTCTGGCAAATCTGTTTAAGTTCCTTGTAGATTCTGGATATTAGACCTTTTTCAGACGGGTAGATTACAAAAATTTTCTCCTATTCTGTAGGTTGCCTGTTCACTCTGATGCTAGTTTCTTTTGCTATGCAGAAGCTCTTTAGTTTAATTAGATCCCATTTGTCAATTTTAGCTTTTGTTGCAATTGCTTTTGGTGTTTTAGTCATGAAATTTTTGCCCATGCCTATGTCCTGAATGGTATTGCCTAGGTTTTCTTCTAGGGTTTTTATGGTTTTGGGTTTTATATTTAAGTCTCTAATCCATCTTGAGTTAATTTTTGTATAAGGTGTAAGGAAGGGGTCCAGTTTCAGTTTTCTGCATATGGCTAGCCAGTTTTCCCAACACCATTTATTAAATAGGGAATCCTTTCCCCATTGCTTGTTTTTGTCAGGTTTGTCGAAGATAAGATGGTTGTAGATGTGTGCCCACATGGTATATGATTTCACAAAAGATTGAATAAAGAAGCAGGAATGAGAATCTAGTTGTCTTCCATTAAGCCAGATGTTAAAGAGATTTGCAAAAATATAAAAGAATGTAACCCTTCTCAAGAAACTTTTTTTTTTGTTTTGGAAAATAGTTATTTTAGTTATCCATTTATATATTTTTGTAGTTATATATAGTTGTATACAAAGGCATGTATATAAAATGGATATATATGAATATGTATATTAAATAGATATATTGAATATAGTTATATAAATTTTTTTCTTATTTTTAAATGAATCAATAAATATTGAAGTGTTCTCAGAAAAAAACAAAAAAAAGAAGAAAGATCCCCATCTCTTCTAGCCATCCCAGCTGAATCATAAGAAATGTGAATGAGGAAACCATACTGGACATGTAACCTAGTCAGACCTTCAGATGGCTTCAGTCACAGCTGCCATTTGCCTGTAGTTATATGAAAACTCCCAAGCAAGAAGCATCACCTCAACTCACAGGAGCATGAGAGATTATAAATTGTTGTCTTAAGCCACTACGTTTTAGGGTGATAACTGGAACAGAAATGTAGAATCAAGGTTTTCTATTTGTCCGGCTCCCCAAGTTCCCAATCCTCTTTTCCTTTCTGTTTCCCACTTCCTTGCTTTGGATAATGCAACTTTTATGTTTAGAGCTGAATTTGCAGTTCCAAGATACTCACAATTATCTGATCTTTACCTGTCTTGGATTTCTGACCTCATGTTTAAAAAATCTTTCTTAATTAAGATATATGCGGTTTTCCTTTCTACTTTTAAATAGCCCAACTTAGAAAAGTGCTTGCCTTTTTCTTCTTTACTAAAGCCATAAATAATTAATGCAATCTAACACTGATCTTTTTCAACCAATTATCTTGTAAAAGTCTAACCTCAGGAGGCATATAGTTTATGCTCCAAGATCAGCATTTTAACAGCTACTTTGCTACCAGAAGAGAATGGATTGGAAAAGAGGGGGATTGTGTTGGGCATATACTCAATAATTATGTTAGAAATAACACTTCTTATGTATAATAATAATATTAATTATGTAGTGAAATCCTATATAAGCTATTTATACAACTTGTACATTTGGCTATTTAACACAGTTACATAGGCTTGAATGTTAGCCCTTATGAAAAATATACTTTTATTCCAATGAGCTCAACATTTATGAAAATTCAAAAGGAATTTAATATTAAATGTCAGGAAAACAAATGTTTAAAACAAATTTTACTGTCTTATTATGTTTCTTAGTGGCTATTTTTATGTATTTCACATCAAGAGGGCAAATTTTGGAGTCTGAAACTTACATTAGGTCTCTACTACATCAGTGATTTTTTTTTTGTTCTAGTTCTAAGGACATATGGAATTGGCTATGGATAATTCATATGCTTTCAATCAACGAAGCACCTGTAATGGAATTCCGTCTGAGAAGAAAAACAACTTTCTTGTGTCAGAAGATCATGGACAAAAAATCTTAAGTGTACTACAGAATTTTAGAGAACAAAATGTCTTTTATGATTTCAAAATAATTATGAAAGATGAAATAATCCCATGTCATCGTTGTGTGTTAGCAGCATGCAGTGACTTTTTCAGGTACTTTACCTTGTCTATGCCTCACATTTTATGATTTGGATAATTAGGTTCTATTTTATACTGGACTCAAGTTTTCCCCCACAGGAACATGCAACAGTAATTTTTAATTCTTAAAAAAAAAAAAAAAAACACAAAACAACTAATTAGGCTGGGCACGGTGGCTCACGCCTGTAATCCCAGCACTCTGAGAGGCCAAGGCAGGCAGATCACCTGAAGTCAGGACTTCAAGACCGGCCTGACCAACATGGTGAAACTCTGTCTCTATTAAAAATGCAAAAATTAGCTGGGTGCAATGGCTGTGCCTGTAATCCCAGCTACACAGGAGCCTGAGGCACAAGAATTGCTTGAACCCAGGAGGCTGCGGTTGGGGTGAGCTGAGATCGCACCACTGCACTCCAGCCTGGGCGACAGAGCGAGACTCCATCTCAAAGAAACAAAATAAAAAACAAAAAACCTAATTAGAACCAAGATTACCTAATGATTTTTTTTTTTTTAGACGGAGTCTCGCTCTGTCGCCCAGGCTAGAGTGCAGTGGCGCGATCTCAACTCACTGCAAGCTCCGCTTCCCAGGTTCGCGCCCTTCTCCTGCCTCAGCCTCCCGAGTAGCTGGGACTACAGGCGCCCGCCACCTCGCCCAGCTAATTTTTTGTGTTTTTAGTAGAGACAGAGTTTCACTGTGTTTACCAGGATGGTCTTGATCTCCTGACCTCGTGATCCACCCGCCTCAGCTTCCGGAAGTGTTAGGATTACAGGCATGAGCCACCGCGCCCAGCCATGATTTTTTTAGTAGGAGAGACTTTAAGACTACCTTTTTTTAAAGTACAGGTCTTCCCAGGTCAGCATTTACCAAAGTTCTCTGGAACATTAATCCCTTGAAATACTCTGGGACAAAAAAAAAAATTTATTATGGTGTCAGCTTTGTTTGGGGAATCCCTGTATTGTATTATTTTAGAAAAAGAAGATGACAGGTTGAACAAAAATGGAAGCAAAATTTGAAGAAAATAACTCTGAAAGAAAAGCAAATTTCAGTCCTATGTTGTATTCTTGTATTATGGGGAGAGGAGGCTCTAACCGATTTAAAATTTATCCTCTCCTTAGCAAAGATATCTTTTTATTAGGGAAAAGTACTTCTTAGCTATAAGGCATTTCTTAAAAGCACTCAGCTTGTTCTAATTCTAAGCAACCTTCTGAATATAATTTGGTTTCCCATGTAGATCACCCTAAAGAGAATGTCCTATTCCTAACACTGCACTAATCACTATGATGACAGCAGGTTTCCGATTCTGCAAGGTTAAGGGCCAGACACATGACCTTGCAATTACTGTGTTAATTGTATCAAGGTAGTACTATCCTGTGAGGCTTCTTGGTCAATAGACAAGCCCCTTTTGGTGAAACCCTGATCTTCAGCCTTCCTGGTTATATTACAATAAACTTAAATCCTAATAGCAATATTTTGCATTATGTTCATTCATGAAAGCAATTTTAATTTGAATTAAGCAGGGTTTAAATCTCCAATAAACTCGATTAAAAAAATAAAGTTTAAGATATGGAAATACTAAGATGCATATTTTATATGCAAGTTAATTTATACTATTTTGAATCTTCATTTTAACCCTTATTGTTTTACCACCATCTTACTAGATCTCACCCTTATTGCCTTTAGAGTAAATCTTACAAGCTAGATTTCATTCAACAAACATTTACGTATATATACTTTTTTAAACATAAATTTACTGAAATATACTTCCTGCTAAACACCTGTTCCTGTAGGGGCTCTTGCTTTGAAATTGGGAGCAATGGCTTAGTACTGCAGCACAGTTTACTGGGGCCAGGAGCCTACAACAGTCTTGAACTAGCTGTTTGCCTAATTTGACCATATGCCTTCATCTATTCTTTGTATTTCTTCTCTCAGGTAATCAAAGTTGTTCTTTGAACTTCACTGGGGCCCTTACTGTCTTATACTCTGTCACTCTTATTTCCACCAGTGTCTTCCCTCCTCTCTTTTCTTCCATGTAACTCTTTTCTTTCCCCTTATCCTTCAGGTCCCCTCTTCATCACTATGTAGTACAGTGGTTAAGTAGTTGGCCTCTTAATACATATGCCCTAAATCTAAATCCAAGCTCTGCCATTTACTAGACATGTTTTATTAGTCAAGTTACTTAACCCCTTCAGGCCTCAGTTTCCTCATTTGTAAAAAAAGTAGGATTATAAAAATAGGACTTAACTCATAGAATTATCACATTGCTTAAATGAAATAATGTGTAAGTAATAATTAGCACCGTACCTACTACATTCAGTTAATATTAGCTGCTATGATTATTATTTCTAAACCTAGCAAAAATATAAATAATCTGGTGTGAACACACAGCTTGATTTCCCTGTAATGTTTTCATGCTAATAAAATACTCTGTGTAGGCATTTCAATGTCTAGACCTGCACTCTTCTTGATGTTGTTTTTTATTCAATTTATACATAATTTTTGCACATAGTTCTTTGTTCAGCTTACTGCTAGTTTTTTATAGGTCTGCTTTTACTTTTTAAAATTACTATCAGAACAATGTATTTTTAAAGTTTTCTACCTGGTATAAATAACAAAAGTATCAGATCCTTTATTACTTATAGTACTTTATTAAATGAGTACATAGGTCACATTAAAATATGTACATATGTAATAGACATTTGACAGTTTACACTCCCCTATAATGCCGCTAATTCATAATATGATCAAACTCACTTAATGGAGTACTGAAAGTGTAAAACAAAAATGTCACAAAAGTGCACAGTGCATGAAAATATCCCTCTTACAGTGTTTTTGGAAAATGAAAATTATTATTGAGACGGAAGGTCTCATTGGAGACAAGAAATTGAAAAGGAATCGCACACATTTTATACATACTTTATGATAAGATGGTAAATTGGAGATAGATATTAACTGGATACTTTAAGATGAATAGGATGAAGTATAGAAATATAATCTTACATGTGTCTTTTCAAAGAAAATGTGGAAGCTGATAGTAAATTATAAATACATCAAATCTGATAGAAAACATTTCTTAAAATAATGATAGCAATAAAAGCTAATACTTTGCATCAATTAACCCATTTATTCCTCTGAGCACCCAATGACATAGATACTACCAGTACCTCCATTTTCAGATGAAGAATTCGAAGCACAATAAAGTTAAGTCACCTGCCCAAGGCCACTCAGCTAATAAGTGGCAGAGGCTACATACACTGGCAGGTGGGCCCGATGGACCATATAGCCAGCTGGGCTATATGGACTCTTAATGTTATCCTAAACTGCTGTAGATGTCTTAATAATCTATGTAATTATTATCACAGGCTAATATTTCTATTGATATTCATTATTTAAAAACCCTGCATAATGTGTAACATTTTGCAAGTTCCCTTGTATTTTTCAGTTGGATGTTGTACTTTTTAAATAGATTTCATTACCTTCTGGAGTAGACTCTGATAAGTAAATTGGCTTTCCCCTAGAATACTTTGGGCAACTAGGAACACTGCTCAGAAAGACGTCCTGGACAATACTGGCACAAATAAAAATCATTATTAAACCAGAACCAATAGTAAAATACGTTTTGCTCCATAACAATACATTTCCAAATAATTTATGTTTTTACCTAAACTGAGCCAAAGAAATTCCCAGTTCCTTAGATTCTGTCAACTTTACCATGTAGCAATAAAACAAAACTTATTATGAAAAACTTTCAAGCTAGTCTAATTACTCAAATTTGGGGACCTATCTCCATCTCTCAGTGCCTATTAAATTCTTTTTTTTTTTCCACCTTTTTGCTTGATGTGGTTCACTGTTGCTGTTTAGTTTTAGGAGATCACATTCCCCTTCTCCTAAAGAACTTTATAAAATATCTTTTTAGACATGTATCTTATTTGGTGAATTTCGCCCGCACAATAGAGTCATTGGAGACATCAGGTATCTCACTGTACTCTTTTCTATTTCATTAATGTGAAATCAAAGATGAATTTGAAAGAGACTTTTAAATTCTAAGCGCTAAATAATTATATTTTAAGTAATTTTACTTATCACCAGCACAGTTGTTACTAATTAATCCATAAATAAAGAAATTTGGCCATCAGCAAGATTTTGCCCCAATAGTGTTAATAATAAGGAAGAATCAAATCAGTATACAAAATTTGAATCTTTTTATAGTCTTTTTTTATTAGTTGTTATAGCTCAGCTGTAATGTACATATTTTGTAATATAGGCATTTTGTAATATGTTTATTGGCAGATAAATATGGTATATAATTCTAGATATTAGGATGCAATTAAAACATGATTTTATAAATATATTTTAAGTCAAGAGTAAGGAAACCTCCTTAAGGTAATATTGCAAATAATCATGGAATAAAATATTCCTGTTTTTTTGTGTGTTCTTTATTTTTGCAGGGCTATGTTTGAAGTAAACATGAAAGAAAGAGATGATGGAAGTGTTACCATCACTAATTTGTCCTCCAAAGCAGTAAAAGCATTTCTCGATTATGCCTATACTGGAAAAACAAAAATAACAGATGATAATGTGGAAATGTTCTTCCAGTTGTCATCATTTCTTCAAGTTTCCTTCCTATCCAAAGCTTGCAGTGACTTTTTAATAAAAAGTATTAATCTTGTCAATTGTTTACAGTTATTATCTATATCAGATAGCTATGGCTCCACCAGTTTGTTTGATCATGCATTACACTTTGTACAACATCACTTTTCTTTATTATTTAAATCCAGTGATTTCTTAGAGATGAATTTTGGAGTACTACAAAAATGTCTGGAATCAGACGAATTAAATGTTCCTGAAGAAGAAATGGTACTGAAAGTTGTCCTTAGTTGGACTAAACATAACTTAGAATCAAGGCAAAAGTATCTGCCTCATTTGATTGAAAAAGTAAGATTGCATCAGTTATCTGAGGAGACACTTCAGGACTGTCTGTTCAATGAAGAGAGTTTACTCAAAAGCACAGACTGTTTTGACTTAATCATGGATGCAATTAAGTGTGTGCAAGGTTCTGGTGGACTCTTCCCTGATGCTCGACCATCCACAACTGAGAAATATATATTCATTCACAAAACTGAGGAAAATGGAGAAAATCAATATACATTTTGCTATAATATTAAAACTGATTCATGGAAAATACTGCCGCAATCACACCTGATTGATTTGCCAGGATCTAGTCTTTCGAGTTACGGAGAGAAAATATTCTTGACAGGTGGTTGCAAAGGGAAATGTTGTAGAACGGTTCGACTGCATATTGCTGAGTCATATCATGATGCCACTGATCAAACCTGGTGCTACTGTCCAGTCAAAAACGATTTCTTCTTGGTATCAACTATGAAAACACCAAGAACCATGCATACATCAGTTATGGCTCTCGATAGATTATTTGTCATAGGTGGAAAAACTAGAGGATCCCGGGACATTAAAAGTCTTTTAGATGTTGAATCTTACAATCCGCTTTCCAAAGAATGGATATCTGTTAGCCCATTACCCAGAGGCATATACTATCCAGAAGCAAGTGCATGCCAAAATGTAATTTATGTTCTTGGATCAGAGGTAGAGATTACAGATGCTTTTAACCCATCACTTGATTGCTTTTTTAAATATAATGCTACAACTGATCAGTGGTCTGAACTAGTAGCAGAGTTTGGACAATTTTTTCATGCAACATTAATTAAAGCTGTACCAGTAAACTGTACACTGTATATATGTGACCTTTCCACCTATAAGGTTTATAGTTTTTGTCCAGACACTTGTGTTTGGAAAGGCGAAGGATCTTTTGAGTGTGCAGGCTTTAATGCAGGTGCAATTGGAATTGAAGATAAAATTTATATATTAGGTGGTGATTATGCACCAGATGAAATCACGGATGAAGTGCAGGTCTACCACAGCAACAGGTCTGAGTGGGAAGAAGTTTCACCAATGCCTAGAGCCTTAACAGAATTTTACTGCCAGGTGATTCAGTTTAATAAATACAGAGACCCATGGTTTTCTAATCTATGTGCTTGAACATTCTAAAACGAGTCCAGTTCTAGTAACGTAAACTTGTTAACCAAAATGATAGGTAAAAAGGTCTATACATCTTAATGGAATAAAACGTTCCTGCTTTTAGTTATTATGTATGTACACCATATATAAATAAACAGTTTCCCAAAACTTAAAATACAAAATATATTTTACCAAAAATTATATTGAATATAATTTAACCTTGGGGAATCCAGAGTACTTAGTATTTTCACATGAAACTACAAATCACAGACTCTGACACTTTAATTTTTAAAGTACTCCGTCCATAAAAGATTTGTACTATTTAGATGGGAGAAATCTCTTGAGAGAGTAAAAATGAATTACACTGCATCTTATATGAAGTAAAAAATACATTAGCGGTGAGAATCTTGTTACTGTGGGTATGAGTTGTTGAATTCCTATCATTTGTGATGATTGGTTAACTTCTTTTAGGTACCCTTTTTACCCTTTTTTAGTTCAGAAATAATTTTCCCAGCTTTATAAACAGTACACTAAAAATAGTTTAATTTTTTTAATGACTCATTTTTTCATTAAGAGCATAATGTCCTATGTTATAATGCCATTAGCAGTTACTTAAATGCTTTAAAAATTGCTGATTCTATTAGTTTTCAGTGTCAGTTGGTTTCAATTTCTAGCTCGTGCTCTCTCTCTCTCTCTCTCTCTCTCTCTCTCTCTCTCTCTCTCTCATTTTCTGGTTCAATCTTAGTAAATTAACATTCTGGATTTAATTAGTAGTTCTAAGTTACACCTGGCCTGAGTTTATGTTAGCATGTAACCCTCAATGGGAAATTTTTGGATTCTGGGATGTTAGTACTAAAATACTTTTTATGTGTCACTGCTAGATTCCAGCCTAATTGAGGACATAGAAAATTGACCTCTAATTAAGTGGATCATTATTATTGCATTTCTTAAGCTTTGTCTAAATTTTAGCTACATAAAACATTTCAGGATTTAAATTAGTACCATATCAATTTTCTGTGATGATGTACACCAACTATAAAGCACCTTGTTGGTTTACTACTTCAGTAAATTATTCTCAGTGAATTACTTTCTAAATTTAAAAAAAATGACTTGGCTATTGGTACTGATAATAGTATTCACGACCTGCATCTGTTAAGATGTTTGATCTTTAACCCAAACAGTGTAAGAGTACTGTTGTCATTGTTCTCAGGTAGGTGATTCTGCCTTCCAAGAATATATGTTTCTTTAATCAGTTTAAAAGATAAAAGGCATTTTGGGTTTTAAGACCCCTGCTTTACATCTCAGGTAATGTGTAGATTGTATTTCTCTGGAACCAAATGTAGTTTTCTACACTCAGTTGTAAATGTTAATCTTTCTCAAATGTGCACATTCTTTAAAAGTGTGTTCCTAAGTAGAAATATACTTAAATGAAGATTCTCTTATTTTATCATATAAATTTATGCAACCATAAGTTCCAAATGTATTTTTCAAAATGGAATGGAATACTAGAGTACATTTTCATGAAGTTTAAAAATCAAGGAATGTTCCTGATTAGATGACATATTTATAAGGAGTGTTCTGTAAAATTGGTGGCCTTCCTATCTAAGCACATGAGTAGTTGGCTCTGTACTTTGCGTGTTTAAAAAAAATGGAAAATTCAGTGGAGGCTTTTGTTTGTGTGTGTGTGGCTTTGAAAACAAATTATTTGAGAAAGACCATAACACAGTGAATAACCTATATGTGGATTTACTGAACTGTTAATTTAAGCATATATATTAATAGAGTATGTTTAAAATAAATATTGTTTTCATCACTGACTTTAGGAATTGTTCATCTATTTCAGAAAGGAGAAACCCAAAATCAAATCCCTTTTTGATATTGCTTCATTGTTCTATCATCTTCTTGATTTCCACTGCTGTTCTGATTGGCCTTTGCTTTATGCTAATGTTTCCAGAAACATTCTTGTTATCAAAGCCTAGGTGGCTCCCTCTGCATTTGATTTAATACATTTTCTGATGCAGAAGGTTTTCTGCCCTAGTTTTTTTTTTTTTTTTAATAATTACTGTGGGTTACTTTTTAATCATTTTCACTGATTGCCATCCCTTTACATCTGTACCTTTGTTCTCTCCACCAATTATCACTGCAAGGAAAATACTCTGTCTAATCAAAAAACCTCCAACTGTTTGCATACTGTTTTTTTTCCTGGTCACCATAGCAATCTGTGCTAGACTCCACTCCACTAACTCCTCTCCTTTCATATTCTGCCTCTCCTTATAAAGCACTTTCATTTGATCTGTCTGCCTTATTGGAGAACGGTTTTGTGTCTTCAAAGTCCTCAAGGAACTCGACCACACAGGAGCAATGACTACACTCTGGTTATATCCTCTGGTCTTGTTAATGACTGTGGCTTCACTGTCTAAGAACCATATATATTATTCTGACTTCACCTTCCTTTCTGGATTTCTGACCTGCAAATCTCAGTGATCCATCCAGTCTATTCTCAGTACCTCCAGAAGGAGCTGTTTTTTCTGTCTGTGAGGTTAGGTAAGAGAAAATAACATCCTTTTATGGGCTCTTAGTCTTTTTTAAAGTCTGTTTTCCTTTCATTATATCCTTCAGCCAGTGCTACAGTGTAAGAGACAAAAAAATTATGCTCATTATCCGGATTGCTATCATTCCTGTGGAAAAATTCTATTTAACATTTCTAAATCCATTACCATTTGTCTTGCTCCACTACATTTGCATTATGCATGCCAAAAATATTTTAATATTGTAATGTCTTCTAAAATTGAAAAGTAGGTATATGGCATTATTAAATACAAAATAGAGTATATTTAACACATGAGATCCATTCAAAGTTAATGGACATTCCTAAAATGTGGAGAACCTTTTGTTCATCTACACCCTTTGAAACTAAGTAGTATGAGGAATATTTACATAATCAAAGCTAACTATTTTCCCATAATCAGCTCTGGTCTGGGGAGTGAAGGAGGTCGTTATCACAGCAATATTCATTACATGCTACCCTTGAAAGCTGGATTAGTATTCAAGAGCGACCACATGCTGCAATATGATTCCATATTTCTCAGATACCAAGAAGAGCAATTGAATATATGTTCAGTGTGCTTATTAGCTCAAGGTATACCATTTGAAAATCAGAATTAAGCGCAGAGGGATACATCTGTTTACATTTTGAGATTTGAATGTAATAAATATTATAATGTCATGATTAGTTGAATATATAATGTAACTTTAAGATCATCATGCTCAGTTTAATTGGATCTAGTGTTGTGGAAACTCTTATTTAGAATTGAAAGTATAAATCTCAAAAATGTTCTCTGAGGGGGGCAGCTCTGAATGGCAACCTAAACACAAAGGCTGAAAATTATAGGGAGCGTATTTCTGTCCAGTGTAAGAAACAACTTTATAGTCATACTTTAGAATGAAACCAGTTACCCAAAACTGTGGCATATGGAAGATCATTAGCTCAATAATTTCCTATATGAAAGAGCATGACCAAAGATTTCTACATTCTATTACACATCTCAATCTCCATCATTTCTGATATATGTTTTCTCCTCCAACTTATTTAGCATTTTAGGCATTGTGAATAACTTGATTCAGTGGTTCTTGATACTCACGATTTTTCAATAGAAACTGAGTCTTAAAACTACACCATTTTTGGAACTATATATTTATTCAAGATAAATTTTTTAATTAGGAAAATTTGTAAATGGTGCTGATATTTACAGTGAGCTGCTAGTTGGGATTTTTCCTTTGATTTGCCATAGAGGTATGTTCATTTTATAATGAGTAGAAACTGAAAGATCAGTACCTACAATTTTCTCCTAAATTATTATTTTTCTGCATAGTATTTATACTGGCAAGGGTAGTAATTTTACTTAAATATTATATAATGTGAAAGAATATGTCTTAAACATCTAGATGTGTTTATAAAATATATTCAATGACTGATGCTTGATCAAATTTAATGTCAAAATGGGGAATTCAATCACAGGGAAATACTATTATACATTTACCAAAAGATAACTCTTCTAAATCATAGACTCATTCAAATTTGAAAATAACCTTGGAAGCTAATGCAGCTTCCAAGCCTGCTATAGAAATTTCCTTTAAATTGTAAAACACCCTGACATCCAGTTTTTGTTTTTTCAATTTCTAAATTGGTGTTTTCAGTGGTTAAGAATCACTATCTCCACGTTTGAACAGTTCTAATAGAAAATTCTTCCTAACACTGAAAACAAGTCTGCCTCCCTGTAATAACTTCCAGGCCTTGGTCCTAGGTCGCTGTCTTCACATGCCAGTCATTTAAGTGTTTGAACCAATACCATGTCTTCCATTCCTCCAAAATCAAGACCTCATTTTTATTCTTGTTCAAATGCTTGGCACTTTAACATCTCCCACAATAGCTGATGTTATGTATCTTCTTGTACAATTACCTCAGACAATCTATCCTACCTAGCTCTATTGATTTTATGGTGGATTGCGCCTGACCAGTGTTGCAGAATCTGTTTCTTGTATGGACCTTGCCTCCCTGTCTGTTCTCAGTGTGCTTGATAATTCAGACATGTCATTCCCTCATTTAGCTCTTTAAATCTTATATATCCCATTTGGACTGGAGTCCTGCTGTGTCTCCCTTCTCCTACTCATGCCCATCAACATAATCACAACCATATTTTCTGGGAGAGGAATTATGAAGCCAAATGTTATTAAGTCAAACAATTTGTCATTAGATATGGTTTGAAGACTTTTAAAAACACTAAAGAAAACTCCAGAAACTATAAAAAAAATAGAAACCAAAGCAGTCACACCCTTGGTGGTGAATGAGAGGACAATAGGCTCACAAATCAATACTGACCAGCCTTATGACAATAACAATCTAAATTTAGAGATTTGTGCAGCTAGTCCATTTGGATAGAGCATGATATTTTCATAAAACAAGACTATAATTAAATAAGTCTATGAGTCAGATAGTTTTGTTCATCTCACTAACTTTGACATTCCCAACCATAAAAGTCTAACTAGCTCAACAAATTGTGCTGATGGTCTCAAGGGTAACAAGATTGCTGAAATAACTCAGAGTACAGTCCTCCATTAATGAGTATCATATTGTAGTATAAATGTTTCTTTATATGTCTGTCTTCCTCATTTAACTAGAAACTCTTAGGGATAAGGACATATCTTCAGCATTTCTGGGCCCAGCAGTTGGCAGAGTGCCTGTCATATAATAAAGCATCCAATAAGCTGATAGTATATTGACCCAATATGTGAAGCAAGATATATTTTAGTTGTTTCTGAATCAGTTTGGTATATCTGTATTTTTTTTTTACTTATTTTCATATGAAAAGGAAATTATTTTGATTTATGTTAGAATTTCACATTTTAGAATGCTACCACATTGTACTTTCTTAATGTACATGTTAATTTTTTTGTAATATTAATCTTGCATATGTTCAAAGTCTCTGAGAAAATTGGTTTAGGTAGTTTATGCAACTTTAGTTGTTGTAGTACAATAAATGGAAAAGTTAATCAAAAGCATTTTTTTAGAGTGAAATTGCATTATACAAGTGCATTGCCAATCTTTGGAGAGCATGTATATATTATAATTGACTGTATAGTTATGTATGTATTGTTGGGTCTTGAAAGTGAAATTATAGATTCAAAGTCATTTATCCACTTAATTTCTTAATGCTTGGGGAGTATTCGTTTTCAGTGAATTTTCATTATAATATTTAATTCTCTGTTTCTTTTCAAAGGCAATAATGGATAAAACAATGATTGCAAATTTCCCATTTCTCCTACAGAGCATAATAGTGTCAACGGCCTTTTTCCCACTCAGGCAGGGGAGTAGTGCCCAAAGCTATTTACATTGCACACACAACTTACTTCATTTCTCTGTTAGTGGAATGTGGGCTTTTGCATATGCTATGAGAACTAAAATTAGCATTTTTGAGGTCCATGTTAACCATATTAACATGTAGTAAAACATTTCAATTCTATAAAATAATTTATTAAAATGTATCTCAGAAAAATATATATAGTCTGTATTTATTATTACAAATAAAAGAAGTGGAGAAAGGTGAATGCCAGGATTCTCATTTTCTTGCTGCTCCTTTCCCAGGTGTTCTGGGTTTCTGGGTGACTTTAATGGTCTCAGGAGTACTAAAAGTGTGGTGGTGAAGGTGAAGGATTATCAAAAGGGGCTTCTGTAGCTGGGGTATGTCCAGCAACATAGATTTCAAGGTGGAAAACTAGGTCTGAAATGAATATAGTGACAACCAGTCTTCAGGTGAGTCATAGATGGAGAGAGATCTCCAGGTCCTGACAGCTAAGAAGAATGGGCCAAATGTCCATGGGCTGCAGATGACAGTAGCAGAAGTTAGTCAAATCTGCAGGGCCAGGAACTTCCCAACCCTGCCTCACTGGACACTAGGCATACCATGAACCTATCTACTTCATATGCCCAGATACTCACGGGAGGAGCTAGTGAAGGAGCCAAAGTTTGAGAGACTAAGTAGTACCACAAAAGGGCTTTTAATGTGTTTGCATTGGACAGATGCTCTTTTAATTCCAGTTCCTGTAATTTTTTCTCATTTCTGGACAGGGCCATTTTCTATCATGTGTCTGGTTTTCCTCTGCAATGAGCTGTGATTTCTAAGTGATATTGACTCCCAAGTCCTTCCTACAGACTATGGCACAGGTTGCAACAGATTTCCCCCTTGGGAACCCAACCCTTGAAAAGTGAACTCTGTCCCCATCTCACATGACTGCATAAGGCCACTTGCCTTCTCCAAATTTCCAAAGAGCTCTGATGCTTACTTGTTAGTCCTTGTTCCAATCGTATCACTCCAGACTTCTTAATACCTCCAATCTTCAATGTGCCTCCAACTTTCTGCAGGTCACTTTGCTTTCAAACATAGACCCATTCCTTCTTTTCAATCCCCCAGACAGAAGCCATTAACAGAGTTTATTTTAAAACTTAAGAATATAATAGGGAATTGGCCTGCCACGTTGTTGGAGATGTTCTCCTCAAATCAAGGTCTCCTCTCTGAGTTAACATGTTAATACTCACAGGCCCTGATTGAAGCTTTCCTTTTAAGTCATTAAACAGAATGGTTAATCATTGCAGTCCGACGCATTGGCATTTGAAGTGCTTTCCCAAAATTCTGAACCCATCTGAATTAGTCCTTTTCCTCCCACTCAGTAGAGAAAAGGACAGAAGCCCCTCAATGACAAATCTCAGTCTCCATTCTTACAAAAAATTGTGAAAAGCATTTAAAATAGCAGTTTGTCCCCTTTCCAGTCAACAAGAGTTAGGTAATATTGGGCTACAGGCTCTTATCTATTTAGAATGTAAGTAACAAAATAAGTTTTGTTGAAAACTATTTGTAATTATTTAGCTAATATACAGATTTTAACTGATTTCTACATATATTTTCCAGTGAAAATAACTCTAAAAATGTAATATTCTTTCCATTATGGATGTAAAAAGCTTCAAAATGTTTATAAAGTGTCTTGAGGTTTTTGAAACTAATTCAGCATATTGAATTTTGAGGCAATGTGGCACTAGACCAGTCTGCATAATGAACATTAATTATTTAAAACTGAAGATTTTATTACTGCTTTTTATAAAACCCATGCTATAGTGACTGTGCTTATTAAATTTTACAATTTTAAAGACTTTTATAAAGCTTAATGAGCCTAAACCTAAGATAGCCAACTTAATAATATTCATGAAACACAAGAAATTTGTGGGAGCTATCTTAAAATATAATTTAGGCATAAATATTAAATACTATCCTAGTATTTACAGTGTTAGATTTTGCTGCACCTGATAATAAATATTTTTGCATTTCTTCTAAGTTTAGGGCTTGCTTAACTTGATTTTGCTCTGATGGTAATTAGTGAATCTTCCATGGGAAGTTAATTACCCTTTCCTAACCCTGACCAAAATGTGTGCTGTAAAATGAGTTTAAATTTTTTAATAAAGAAAAGCCTTTCCCTGTGGGCTTTTCAGATTTAAAAATCCAATTAGCCTTAATGTTTTTCCTTTTAGAGATTAACCACCCTTTTATGTTATGAAACATTAATTGGAATTCAAACTATTTATAGCTCCTTTTAAAACAACCTTTTAACAAATCAGTAAATTTTGTGTTTCTTTTACAGACAGTATTCACCTTTGAATTCAGTATTCCTGAAGGAGTAAAATATTACCACAGTATTCTTCCATTTAATTTCTTTTACAAGAACAAATTAATATGCACCCTTGTTTCTAAGAATTTTTATAAAGAAAACTATTCAATAGTTTAAAATAAAGCATCTACATTTCTTTCATTGATAAATGAAATATTGAAGCTCCAACCAATACTTCTGTGAATGTCTACCATGCATGCACTGTGTTAGGCAGTGCTCCTCAGACTTGCTTCAAAAATAAATCATCTAGGACAGGCACGGTGGCTCACTCCTGTAATCCCAATCCTTTGGGAGGCCAACGTGGGATGATTGCTTGAGGCCAGGCATTTGAGACTAGCCTGGGCAACATAACAAGATCCCATTTCTATAGAAACAAAATGTTAAAAAAAAATTAGCTGGGCATTGTGGTTCACACCTGTAGTACTACCTACTCAGGAGGCTGAGGCAGGAGGATCACTTGAGCCCAGGAGTTCAAGGTTATAGAGAGCTATGATTGTGCCACTGCACTCCAGCCAGGGTGACACAGTGAGACCAAGTCTCACAATTAAAATTAAAATAATGGCTCAGTGCAGTGGGTGGCTTTCACCTGTAATCTCAGCACTTTGGGTGGCTGAGGTGGGAGGATAGTTTGAGCCCAAGAATTTGAGATCAGCCTGGGCATCACAGTGAGACCCCCTTCTCTACAAACATTTTAAGTCAATCAATCAATCAGTCAATCATTTGGGGTGTGCCTGCTAAAAGTACCAAATGCAGGACCTCAGTCTTGGAGATTTTGATTTAGTAAGTTCTAGACTTGGGTCCTGGGAATACAAATTTTTAATAAGCACTGCAAATAATTCTTTTTGGTGGGCAAGTTGAACAACACACTGGGCTAAAGGTTGAGAAACTAGCTCTGAATCAGACAAGCCTGGATTTGAATCTCAGTTCCACCATAGAGGTTGTTTTACAAGCTGCGTAAGTTGGAGTAAGTTACTTAAACATCCTGTGCCCTAGTTTCTTTATCAATAAAACTGGGTAAGAGAAATGAAGCACTCACAAAAGGATGTTGTGAGAATTAAATAAAATAATGCATGTGACACGCTTAGCAAATAGAAATTGTTCAACAAATGTTTTGTCTTCCTTGTCTCTTTTTCCCTGATGTCAACAGAAGCCATCTTCCCCTAACTGTCCCAAATGCTACCACAGTCTTTCACTCTTCAATTAGGGATGAAATTTTAAATCTGAAAAGCACTCAAGTCTGCCTTGGTAAAGAAATTGGTGTGACAAAGTAAAACATTGCCTAATGCACAGTTTAGTTTTGACTTGGTTCTAAACATTTCCTCTTAGACTCAACCATGAGTTTCTCACTTATATTAATAATTATATTAATTAATTCATTCAACAACCATTTCCTGTGCTTTTACTGTGTTTGTCACTATACTAGGCTTGGAATTTTTGTGGCAAGAAAACCAGTGTGTTTCCTATTTTTGACTCACTGAGCATCCTGCTGTTTCTGTGAATCTCTTGATTTTGACTGGCTTCTATTGCTAACACTTTCAATTTGGCCCCATTTTTGTTTTCCATGCTTTCCCAGAACCATAAGCCTTCAAAAGTTCCTTAGCCTCCACATCCGTTCTGCCCAGATGAACATTCCCCTTTGCTCCTTGACTCACAGCTTTCAAGATCAACAGGGGCTCCTGTGACTGATGACAGCCAAAGCATGAAGCTAGCTCTCCAGCTCACCCATGAGTAGAGGAGTCAGAAAATCAGTTTACAGAGCCTAGAGTGGTCATTAAATGGGTGAGAGATCTTAGCAGCCTACGAGGAATTTTTAATATATTAAATAACTTATTTTCACAAAGTGCAATGCAGAAGATGTATACATTTTTGAATGAGCAAAATCCAAAAGTTTTTTTCTCAATAATCTCCTACCGTGGTACATGCATCCAGCCATATATAAAGTGTTATGTTGGCAAGCAGTCATATATCATACAGGGTATTACTTTAATATTTTTTCACCTAATAAGCTAAATGAGAATACCGTTTCTCATTTGTTTCACCATCATATATCCTCACCAAAATAATATCAGACTTGAAAGCGTGCAGAGATCAGCTCATTAATGTTTATAAAACAAGGATAGTCAATCATTAAAAAGTCTAGTTGTATACAAAGATCCCTCTCATTAATAATTTAATATTTCTCCTTGATCCTGAAAATGTAATTGATGTAGCACCAGGAGCGTAAAAGAAAGCAGAGGCAAGGAGTCAAGTAGTAAAAATGCCATGTGACCAGGAATATTGAGGACGTTTATACAACGCAGAGTCAGGAATTCAGTAAAAAAGGTGACGGCTGAAGGAAAGAAATTAGTGATTCTACAAGAGGAGTCATATCAATAGTTGCTGTAAACTGTCACTCCTCAGCCCTGATCTGCTCAGCTAACATATCTGGCCTTACATATGCTACACTTACATATGCCCAGAGTTATGACAATCTGTGTCTTTGAGAAGAAAAAGGTCGAAGGCTATCTTATGGAGAGCAGGAGGGATCCAGACTTTCAGGTTCTGTTGAGAACAAAGAAGAAACACTGAAATCCAGTGGCTGGAGCCCAGACTTTGTTGTTATAAATTTCCATTCCCATGATAATGACCTGTCTTTGAAATCTGCATATGAAGGTCCTGATGCTTAATAAGAGAAAATGGGTTTGATTTCTTGCACCTTTTATTTCAAGCACCTTAATTTCTTGAGCTGGGGCCTATGTGCAGTCAACATTTCTGTGGAATAACAGCATCAGATCTCACCTGGAAAAGGGCAGTTGGCTCCACCAGACAGGTCCTCATTAGGATGGCAAGACCTTGTTGCAG